CACCTTCTAACCTAACCCACCAGAGAATTTACTTATTTGTTTACTTATTTGTGTCTGCTGTCAACAGAAACGTGGAAGTTGCCACAATGGGTAAGGAAGGCTTCATCCAGACCTCAGATGTGGTCCCAACAGAGGACCAACACTGGGGGAATACTGGGGGCGGGGTCAGTCCAGTCTGTACACAGTCAACCCCCAGTCTGTGTCTGTGGAACAGCTGGCTGGTAGAATCAAGTGACAGGAACCAGACCCCTTATATCCCAGTTTCTCAAAAGGAACTAATTCTATTGCTGACAGATTTCCCCAAACTTCTGGGAACCCATCTCGGTTTTCTTTTCATATCACCTTTTGAGATAACAAGCTGCGTAGTTTACTATCTGCTCTGGAAAAGGATCCATTTTATTTGCTCTCCCTCCACGTTTGTCTCTCTCCCCCCACCCTGCTTCCCTCCTCACCACCCGCCCCAGCTTCTGACTGGGCTTCTCAGGAATGCACAGCCTGCATGGGGCGTGTGGGGTGGGGGGTACGGAGGGGGTGACTCACTCCTCTCATCAGCTATATAAGGTCACAAGGGGGCTGGAGAGGGGAGGGGCTGGTCTCCCTGCCAGAGGGGCCTCTGGGGAAGGGCACCAGCCACAGCCCAACCCCTGGGCTCCAGTGGCAGGGCTGGGATTTCTCTCCCAGTGGCAGGGATACATTTGATGGAATTAGCCTGCAAAACAGGAGTTATTTAGGGAAGGGGGGCAGTGTTGGGTGGCAGGGTCCTCATATTCCTGATCTGGCAGCTGGGGACAGGACATGCCTGTCCCTGATGAGCAGGGTGCTGGGCGAGTGGAGAAGGCCTGAGGGAGGGCAGAGGGGAAGGTGTCTGGGCCTAGAGAACTCTATGCTGCTTCTTCCCCAGCCCCACCCCCACCCCCACCCCCACCCCCACCCCGAGCGGCTGCTTCCTTATTCTCTCACCACATCCTGAGCACAGTTCTGGCAGGCCCGTGGCCCTGCATTTGCCACTCAGCCCCACCAGCCTTCCGGCTGCCCCCCCACCAGGCTTCCTGTTTGGGCGATCTGCTTCCGGCTCCCCTGCTCCCTGACCTAGGTATGGTCACCCTCACAGGTCCTGCCCTGCGCTCAGACAGTCCCTGGGCTTTGGGCCCCCAAATTCACGCCTTCTCCTCTTTGTTCCTCCCCAGAGGCACAAGCCAGCCTCTACAGCAGGAAGTGACTTCTCTGAACACCTCGCCCTGGTCTTTCCTCACCTACTTCCTTGCATCTGCCCAGCCTGAAGGGGAAGGGGCTGGTAGCAGTCCGAGAGCTCAGGACAGACTCAGGGACCATAGCTCAGGGATGGGAGCTTAAGCTTCATGTGAAGATGAACTGGGGTCTCAAGTGACCCTGAGCTTTGGTCCCTGTGCTTTCCCACTGATACTGAGGACACAAAAAACAAGTCTGAGAATGTCACACATGAGATGAAAACTGGAGACTAGGAAGGTCTTCCCAGTCTCTGGAGAGATGTTAGATGCAGAGACCTCTCTTTCCTTAGAGTTTTTCAAGCTGGAAACTGGTGTGTGGGGAAGGACGTGGGCCAGGGCCAGGGGGAGAAGTCTGCTTGGCTGACAGCTTGGCTGTTGCCAACTTCCCTGCGCTGCCTTCGTCTGCTGGCCTCGGCCCCCACCCCACCCCCACCCCATCCCGTCCTTAACTCCCATTGTACTCCCTGCTCTCAGCACAGTGCCTCCAAATTCACTTCTCTTTCTTTCTACCCCAAGAGGAGGGAGAGGCCGGGATGGCAGGAAGAGAGGGGAAAACCAACTGCTGAGCCAGTTCTGGGGAGGGAGGGGAAGCCCAGGGAGGAAGGACAGGGAGGGAGTGGCGAGCGGGTATTTTGGAAGAGGAGAAGGCTTTTCTTGTCCCAAGAGAGAAGGGAGTACTGTCTGAAGCAGCGGCCCAGCTGGGGGTGTGCAACCTCAAGGTCACCCACTTCAAATGGCCTCTGTGTGCGTCTCTCCCATGGGGCAGACTCGGGGTTCGAAAGCCTTCTCTGCTCCTTGGCCAGCCCTGTTCCACTCCCCTCCCCCTGCTGTCCTGCGGTGTCCCTCCTCCGCACCCCTCGTCCTCGGGTCTGTGAGACCCTCCTCCGCTCACTTCTCCCTACAAGCCCAAAGCCACCCCTCCACCTCCCCAGGCTTCCCGCCCCGACATCCTCCCCGCTGGAAGGCTGGAAGTGCTTTTGCCCTGCGGACCCTGCCCTCACAGGCTCCAGGCTGTGGCCTCAGCTCAGGTCTCCCACCAGACAGCCTGGGTTGGGTCACAGAGTCAGCAATGGAAAGAACTGGGGGGCTGGGGGCTCAGAGCCTGAGGGAACGGAGGGTGAGCAGCCTGGGAACAGCCTGAGAGGGACACACCCAGGACAGCGCTTGCTTGCGGGGCAGCCTCCTTGGGCTGGGAAGTGAATGGAAAAGAAGGGCTACGAGAAGGAAGGGTGTGTGCGCAGGGGAGGAAGAGTGGTGGCAGGAATCAACAAGAACGCATAGACCAAGACAAGAATACAGGCGTATGAGACAGAGACAGGAGCCCACAGAGAGCCGACAAGTGGGCTTCTGAGGAGTCTGACTTGGCTGCTCCCTACCTGTTTGTGGTGCCTTTCAGGGGACCCCTTGACAAGGCAGCTGCGGTCGAGGCGGAGGTAGCCCCCCAGAACCAAGATCTCCTCGGCAGTTGGGTACCGCTTCTTCCCAGCCCCAGCGACTGCAGCGTCAGCTGTGGCTGGGCTGGCCGGAGTGGCAGGGGCTGCAGGGGGCACGGACCGCCGGGGGTTGACTGTGAAGGTGTGTCCGCTGCGGCGGGGGGCCCCCACCCCTGGCCCTGCCTTCACCCCATAGAACAGCCGGCTCATGAGGGGATCCCCAGGGGACTGGGGGGCAGGTGGGGCTGGGGGTGGGGGAGACAGAGGGGCTGCTGGTGGGGGCCGGAGTTCCCCTGCTTCCTCTTCCTGCTGTCTAGAGCCTCCAGTCCCAGCGTCCTCTGGTGAGAGGGGGGAGGGCACAGAGCAGCGGTTCTGCAGGGCGCTCAGAGGCCTGCCCTGAGCCCCTGCCTCCTCCTTCTCAGCTTCCCCTTCTCCAGCCTCTGCAGCGAGAGGACTCAGGTGCTTCTCAGCAGACTCTGGAGGGTCTGGTTTCTGAGTTTGAGTCTCTGTGTCCCTGGGTGTCCAGTCTCGAACCTTCCCAGAGTTCAGGGTCCATTTCCACCCTTCTGTCAGCCTCAAGCCCCTCTCGCCATCCTCCGCAGGGGTGGGCCTCTGTTCTGCTGCCTCCACTCCTCCAGAACTGCTGTCTGGAGCCTCCCTTGTCAGGGTCTCTGACGACGCTGTAATCTCTTCTGGGACCATCCTTGGACTTGGCCTCTCTTCTTGTCTCCCACATTCCTCTGAGCAGTCTTTTCTTTCTTCTCCTGAGCTCAGCCTCCACTCTGATGCCTCCGGTTGTACCCAACTCTGTTCCTGAGACTCTCTGGAGTCCGGCGTCCATTTATGGGCCTCTGTCAGGCCCAACTTCTGGTTGTCAGACTCCACCGGGCTCAGTCTATTTTCCACCACCTCTTTTCTCCTGGGGCTTTGTTCTTGAGGCTCTGCCAGTCTCAGACTCCGCTCTGGAGTTTCTCCAGGGCTCAGCCTCCATTTCCTCACCTCTGACAGTCTGGAGCTCCTGTCTCCAGCCTCTCCTGGGCTCTGCCTCCAGTCTCGAGCCTCCACAGGCCTGGGGCTCGACTCTCGAGCCCCCCCTATCCCCAGCCTCCTCTCTCTGGCTTCCCTGGGACTGAGTCGCTCTTCTCTTGACTCTCTTCCCTTGGGGCTCTGATCCCGCATCTCCCCAGGGCTGAGTCTCCGCTCCCAGGCCTCTAAAGACCCAGGCCGTCTCTCTGCAAGTAGCTCTTCACTCCGCTGCTGTTGCTGCTGCTGGCGCTCTTGCCGAATAAATCGGTTCTGGTGCACTGGCCCAATGGCCTCCAGGAGGACAGCAGACTCGTCTGGGTCTGGAGGTCCAGCCTCCGTAGTCCCAGGCGCAGGGCTAGGCTCCCCGGGAGACAGACCAAGCTTGGCCCGGCGGCGCTCCAGAAGCCCCCGCTTCCAGGCTGGCATCTGGGACAGCCGCTCCTGCTCTGCCTTCTCCCGGCCACGAACGGCTGCCTCCTCCTGCCGGCGCCGGGCTAGCAGCTGTAGCTTCCAGTCCGGGATGGTGGCCATGGTCCCCTCGGGGAGGGTGGGGAACGCTGGGGGCAGAGAACAGGAAGGAGAGGCTCCAGAGAGGCCCAGAGGGTGAGAATGGGGGTGGGAGGGGAGGTCGTGGAGCAGAGAGGTGGGACACAGAGGAGGGCAGAGGAGCTGAGGGTGAGGACAGAGGGAAAAAGCGGGGAGCAGAGAAAGGGGAAAAGCTGAGAAAGTGAAGGGGAAACTAAGAGTCAAGTTGATGGCAGTCAGGGGATGGGTTGAGAGGAAGAGTGGAGATTCAGGGCAAAGAGGCAGGAGTCAGATTTGTCAGTACAGGTTATTGGGTATCAGAGACAGTCCCCGGGATGTGAGAAGAGAGAAAAACGAGAGAAGTTGGCGCGCGGGCGAAGAGAGAAAGGAGAGGCTGGACGTGAGGGGGACAGGGTCCAGGCGAGGTTGCCTCAGCGCTACCCCAGGAGCGGTGAGAGTGGGAAGAGAGGTCAGGGAATCCCGCCGGAGAGGGGGCACTGGGACCTGAGGGGGTGTCGGGGAGGTGGGAGGGCGGAGAGTGGAGAGGTCTAAGGGAGAAAGGGAAGTCAGGGGGGCAGAGGGGCGAGGGGGTTCCGCGGCTGCAGCCCGGCGCGTCTCAGCGTGGGCCCAGGAGGTCCGGGCTCCCCTTCCAGCTCTGCTCGGGCCACGCCTCTCCGGCCCCCCAGCCCCCACCCCTCCGCCCCGCACTCCGCCCCGAGGCGGGTCAGGGGAAATACCCTCCCCCGGGGACTTTCGGAACCCGGGTGTCGGACCTGCCAGCACGTTCCCAGAACCCTGGCGTCCACCCCCACCCTAACGCAGTCCCGGCACCACCGCCTGCCTCCCCCACCGGCGGTGCCCCGGGACCCAGGCGTGCGGAGCACCGGCCCCACACCTCTTTTTTCCGGAGCCTGCCAGTCCTGTGCCCGGGTCTTGGCTCTCACGGAACCCCGACATAGCCGGCCATCCCCACCCGGCTCTGACCGCACAGACAGGCAATCTCGGCACAAAGAGGAGACAGCCCAAGGTTCGGGCCGGGGACGGGAGCGGGGACGGGAGAGGAGACACCCCCTCCCCAAGGCTGAAGCCCCTCAGTCAACTCACACGCCGCGGGGCTCCCAGGGGAGGGGGTGCGAAGGAGCCTGACGTCCGGAGAGAGGAGGAGAGAGGAAGAGGAGGAGAGAGGGATCGAGGGAGATCCGGAGACAGGAGGGAGGGGAGGAGGGAGGGAGGGAGAGGAGGACGGAAAGAGGGAGCCAAGGAGGAGGGACGGAGACAGAGACCAGGGGACCGGGCGGGGGGAGACGGCCGCTTTGTCTGAGGACAATGGGGAGAGGGAAGGGGGCGCGGGGCGGAGCCTCGCTCCCTCCGACCCCGCGTGGGACTCGGCTCCGGGTCTCCTCTCTTCCCGCCGCCAGCCCTGGCCCTCCGACGTCTGTCCCCAGGGCTTCTCACCCGGCTCCCGGATAACCCAGGTGTCCAGACCTCCGCCCCCAGCTCGCCAACCCAGGGCGGCGGCCCGTGACTCAGGCCCCTCGAGGGACTTGGGGAGGAAGCGGCAGCTGCTCCGAGCCGGGCCCGCCCTTCCCATCTCCTGCCGCTCCTCCCCACGCATTTGCCTTCCCGGGCCAGCCTTTGTTACCGTGGGGGCCGGGGCGGCCGCCGGGCTGCGGGGGACCCGTAGGGAGGGGGCGGCAGCAGGAGCGGCGCTCGGAAGCCAACGGTTTTGGAAGCTAGCTCCCTTACCCGAGCCGCTGCCCCACTCTTCCGCTTCAACCTATCTGCCGAGGGTCCCCAGGTCTGCAGCGAGGAAATTGGGGGATTTGGAGGAAGGGAGACCGGGTGCTCCGGGAAGGGGGGTGGGGCGGTACGCGGGGAGTGGCCGCCACCCAGCGGTCATCAGAGGGCGCGGCCGATGCCCAGACTCGAGTCTGGCTCGCCTGTCCTTCCCAGAGGCAGCCCTGCAGCTTGAGAGACACTGACAGACTGCATGCTACACGTAGAAAAACCAGGCTGAATTTTATTTTCCTGTAGCACGAGTTACTCGGGAGAGCAGGGAGCCCTTAGTCACCCGAATTAAGAGCAGGAGAATCTGCTCAACTAGGTTCATGAGTCTGGAGCCCAGGGGCAGGGCCTAGGGAGCTGGAAAGGCCAGTGGGGCTGGGCCGCAGCTGCAAGGTGTGGAGCCTGATGGGGCAGCCACTATCGTCAAACTTGCGGACCTTGGTCCAGCCCCTAGGAGGGGAGCTAGACGTGGAGAAGAGGATCCTTGAGGCGCAGAGGCCAGAAATAGGACCAGGGGAGTGGTCAGGCCAGACCCTTCTCCTTGTGAGGAGGTTGTTAATGGAGGGTCAAGCCCTAAACTCTGAGGAGACAGATAAGTTCCCCACTCCCTCTTCCTGGCTGGTGAGAAGCGGCCCTTGGAGTCCAATGGCTGAAACTCAGAATTTAAGATATGGAGCTGGACCCAAGGAGTGGAGGCTCAAGCAAGGGAAGGGACAGCTCCTTCAGTCCATGGATTTGGGCCTCTGGTCTGAAGCAGCCAAGGCCTGGATGTTAAGGGGATTTGGAATTGGAGGGGAAAAGGAAGTACAGGGCTTGGAACGAGGGTTAGCCCCTCACTCGGCCTCCCCGTCCTGGGGCCGGGAGAGCAGGTGGAGTTTTCTTTGCAGCTGGGCCCGGAGGTAGCGGAGATCTTGCTGGTCAAGTCCGTGAGCCAGGCCCAGGTAGAGGGTAAGGAGGAGAGCAAGGAGGAGGCGGTCAGTGCCCAGGGTGGGCACCACCCATAGCACAGTCAGCAGCTCCACACACACTGGGTGGCGCAGGTGGGAGAAGAGTCTCAGAGCCCGGGGAGACTTCAGGGCCAGAGGCTCGCCCAGCCCCAGCACATGGTAGTACACCTAAGAGAGGGAGAATGGCTTAGAAATGGAGTCAAGCCCTTGTCGCAACTTAGCTGCCTCTTTCCTCCCCTTCCAGGCACCCTCCTTCTATAACGCAGGCCCAGGAACCACCCTTCTGAGACTGGGGTCCCTGACCCTCATCTCTGGTCCATGAAACTTCCCCAGGCCCAGGAAGCCCATGGTTTCTGGCCTTTGAGCGAGGGCTAAGGGGAGACTATCTTACAAGAAAGGGAGGTGAGGGAGTCAAAAGCAAGAGGCAGGTGGAAGAGTAGGGGAGGAGGAGGGACATCCTTGGAGGGGAAAGACGTATTCTAGAAAGGATCAGAGGTTTGGGGTAGGGATCTGGGAGCCTCACCTGTTTGAGGCCCATGAGCTCTGCGTAGTCAAAGACGAGAAGGATGCTGAAGATGAGGAGCCAGGAAATGACGTGGAGCACAAAGCAGAGGAGGGGCACCCAAGTGGCCCATGGCTCGGCCCGAGCCTCCCACAACACGGGGCCCCTGGGCACGGGCTCCCAGTACCGCATCACCAGCTGAAGGAGGATGAGGGACTGGGTATCCCAGCAGCCCACCCTTGAAAGACCTAGACCCAGAGGCTGCCCCCATCCCAGGCTGGCCAGCTGCTCTCCCCGCCTCTACCATGAGAATGTTCAACATGTGGAGGGTACTGGGTGGGGTCCCAAGTATGTAAGAATGACTTGTCTCTACCCTGAGGACTTAAAGAATGGATGAGAGTCACCAGATAGGTACACAAAGTAGCCTAGGCCAAGCACCCACTGAGAAACAGATGAGTACTAACTGGGAAGCTTTCTCTTGTGACCTAGGGAAGTGCTTTTGAAGAAAGGATAGGACTGAAGAGGAGTTAACAAGGGAATCTCAAGCAGGACAACGTGAACAAAGTTGCAACGGTGAGAATGCACATATCATGCTCGGGGAATGACAAGCAGTACACCATTCTTGATAAAAAGTAGGATATGTGCTGTGGAGGAATGGGAGCTGAGATTACAGTCCTGAACACCCTTAGTTCTCCTCCTAAACCCATGTTTTATCAGAAGCCTAAGGTCCTTGCCTCTCCAGTCGACGGAATCCTTCCCACAGATTGTTTCCCTTGAGGACTCAGTTGCCAGGGCTTCATACCTGCAAGGCCAGGGCAGTGCATGCCACGTACAGAGACCTCTGAAGGACCCCAAAGTACCGGAACATCCATGACTTCACTGTCTCAGTTGCCATGAGGCTGTGTTGCCCCACAAATAGTAGCAGGAGCCCCAGATCCCAAGCCAGGGGGACAAGAATGCTTTGGTCCTGCAGGGCAGCCAGCCATCCCTGGCGGGCATCTAGCGGGAGTTGGAGAAAGGGACAAAAGATCAAGAAGACTGTGGGAAAAACTCCCTACTCTTATCTCCTCTCGGGACCCCAGGCCATGTCCCTTAATGCTTTCAAGAGCCTTAATGCTTCCTCTCTAGGCTTTGCCCACCTCACTTTTCTATTCCCTGTTTCTTCCCTCTTCCCCAGGCCTCCTTCAGAGCTGGGGAAGAGGATTCATGCTGGTCAGTCACGAAAGGCATGGCTGGAGTGCCCTTCTTGTTTCGGTTCTCCAAATGCTCCCTCTTTATAACACTCTCCATAGTCCTCTTTACTAAGCCTTTCCTTAGAATACTCTGCTTATCGCCCTCTCTCCCCCTCAGTCCTCACTCTCCCGCCTCTCCAAACCGCTAATCCCTGAGTTGCTAATTTAGCCCTCTGGTGTCCCCTGCAGCGTCTCGGCGGCTTTCACGGTTCTAGTTCCCTCTCCTGGACTTCCCCTGTCATTTGTCTCCAAGCCCCGCCCCCGCTCCCTCTGCTCCGGCTCCACCTTCCTACCCCAGAGCTCATCCTCGGTCCCTCCCGCTCACCAGGACCACCAGACTCCGAGATTCCTCCAAGAAGTGGCCGAAGGGAGGTAAAGCGCACGAACTCCACTCCAGTGCCAAAGGCCAGGATGAAAGAGGCGAGGGCAGCAGGGACAAGGAGCAGTGCAGGGGCCATGGCGAGAAATGGAGGGGTGGGGAAAGGGGCGGGTTTGGGATTCCCGCGGCCGCAGGCTCCGCCCCGACCCCGCCTCCCGCCTGGGACCCTGCCCAGGAGGGCGGGGCTCCCGCGCGCCGACGCCCAGGCTTCCGGCCGGCGCGCGCGGCTCTCTCGCACAGAGCTTCAGGGCTGATCCCTAAGTGCCTTTCCCCGGTCTGCGATCTCCGCGTCACAGAAGGGAATGTTAGAATCCCAAGTGAGAGGTGAGAAGGGCAGCGGTTGTTCAGTCATGCACGTGGTTTGAATCGCAGCTGGGCTAGTTTTCGCATCTAAAATGAAGACAGTTCCTCTCTTGCAGGGTTCTTGCAGAAACGGCATTATGATCCCACCTTCCTTTAACAGCTTTGACTAGAAAACAGCCAGAGTCAAGAGGTTACAAAGCCTCAGCTAACACTTATAATGAACGGTGAGAGAACGGAAGACTGTTGACCCAGGCTGAGAACCCAAAGCTCTGAATCATCCATTACAGCTTGTTAGATGAAAAAGAGTGACTATTTTACCACAAACGCTCAGTCTGTAATTTATTATAAAGCTGATTTGTTGCCTCTCCACTTGCTAAGGGGAGAGAACTTGTCTGTAACACTGAAAGATTTGTTCTATTAATGCCAAAGGCTGTTACTTTGTAAACATGAGAGTAACAACATGTTAAAATATTTGTGATAGAAAACTTTATTACAGTTGTAAACTTTGTAGTATGTTAATTTTATCCAAGCTTGTGATAATTAACTACCTATACAACCCCATTAGACTCCACTTACTAGTCAGAAAGCACTAAGATCTTTTGTCCAAAATTTTCCCTACAGACCTGTTTGTAATACCTACAAGACTAACATTCACATCTAAAAATCAAAGTAAAGTAAGGTTTTTCTCCATTAAAGATCATGTAGCTAAGGACCTGGTCACAGTAGCTATGACCATAGTAAGGAACTTAGAGATCATGAAGCTAATTCCCTCAGCTAATAGAAGAAACATAGGCCTAAAGAGATCAAGAAAATTTCCCACAGGCTCTACATTCCTTCTCCCTCCCGGAGGCTTAGTATTCCCATTCTCCTCCGAATCAGTGCTATTTTATACTGTACCAGACATCATTATGTTTTCCCTCCTGATTCACTCTCCATCCTGCTTTCTGCCTCAGGAAGTTGTCCTGAATGGACTACATCAAAGAAAATCACAGCATTTGAGGGAAGCCTTTCTATGTAACTGTTCCCTCCTCTCAACCTTTTGGGTTTACAGGTGGCCACAACAGAGCTGTGGGTACTGGCAATATTCTTTGTGATTTCTCTACACTCTGCCTACTTATAATTTTCACTTCATTAAACTCTCTCCAAATTATCCTGATTTGACTGTGCCATAGTTTCCTCTTAGGATCCTGACTGACAGAGACATTTATTACACAATGTGCTATGAGCTGTAGGGTTCATTGGAAGTGTAAGAAAAGATCTCTCTTCTCTAGGAATTTAAATCGGGGCACTTAAATTGTACCAGTCATGAAGTGGGTGTGCACATGAGTGCTAAGTGGGGCTATAGAGACAGCAGGTGCTGTAAGGAATCCAGTGGACCTCAAGGACACAGGCAGCTTCACAAAGTACAAGGCTTTGAGCAGTGCAAGGGGACTAATATTTATCTGGGTCCTACTGTGTGCCACACCCACTATGGCTATGCTTAATATATATTGTGAGATGAGGTATGTCTAAAAGCCAGCAGCACAGTGTTTGGCAAAGCTCATGCTGTTTCTACTACACCAAAGTTTTCCAAACTTAAGTATAATTTACCTGCAGAAAAGTGCCCAAAACTAATCAGTAATTTTTAAATTGAAGTGAAATTCACATAACATGAAATTAACCACTTTAAAGAGAACAGTCCAGTGTCATTTAGTACATTCATAATGTGTGCAACCACCACCTCTGTCTAGTTCCAAAGCATTTTCTCTTCACCCCAAAATAAAACCCTGTACCCATTAAGCGGTCATTCCCCATTTTCTCTCCCTGCCAACCACCATCTACTGTCTCTGTGGATTTACCTATTCTGTGTATTTCCTACAGGTGGAGTCATACAACGTGACCTTTTGTGTCTGGCTTCTTTTACTTAGCATAATGCTTTTGAGATTCATCCTCAAAACACCGTAGCACAATTAGTACCTCATCCCCTTTTATGGCTGAATAACATTCATTGTATGGATATGCCACAACTTGTTCATCCATTCATCTGCTGATGAACATTTGTGGTGTTTTTCATCTTTCGGCCCTTGTGAAAGTGTTGACATGAACATTTGTATACACGTATTTGTCTGAACATCTGTTTGGATTCTTTTGGCTATATACCTATGAGTAGAATTGCTGCGTCATATGGTAATTCTATAATTAACTTTTTGAGAAACTGTCAAACTGCTTATCACGTGGATGAATCATTTTACACTCCCATGAGCAATGTAGATGGGTTCCAATTTCTCTACATCCTTGTAATCAACCAACTTCTAAAATTTACAAAATAAAACTGTACTACACCATAAGGCACATAGTGAATATTTATTTATCACAGAGGTTAAGCCTAAGCTAACTTTATAAATACTGGAAAAGCAGGCCAGGAAAAAAAAAAGGGCAGAGATTTGCTCAACGTCAAAGCTAAAGGATGCTTCTAACGAGATGGGGCAAGGAGAGGGGAAAATATTTTAGTAGCATTCCATAACTCCACCCTCAAATTTACTCACTCCAAGCATTCTTCCAAGTTCTGGACACTAAAATTGTTTCCACTACCTTCTGCAGGGTGAGTAAGAATCCCAGTAAGAAAAGAAGAGGAGAAACAAATGGTTTCCAAACAGGAAGCAGGACACTGTGCGCGCCATAGAGCAATAAGCACATCAGTCCGGCTAAATGTGAGCGGCGACTTAAGATATCTGAGCATGGGATTGGCCGACTTTAAGTGGCCATTTAAGAAAACTGTGGCTCCCAATCTCCCTGTCTTTTTTTACCAGCAAGCTTTTCAGCCCCACCCATGTTCCAAGACAAATCAGATCAGTACACCCCAATCCTTTCTAAAGCCCTAAGTTCTTTCTTCCAAATATTTCTAACACTTTATATATTGGTCTGGGAGGAAAAGCATACTGGGGTGGGGTTTTCAGGTGGATGACACTTCCAAAGTGGAGAGGACAAAGGCCTCTGGCTTGGCTTCCTGCTTTAGTACTCCTGTGAGCAGGAACTCAGGTGAGAGGATGGGCAGCCCAACCCGAAATGGAATGGCACACCGAGGGAAGTCCTGGGAACATGTGATCACAACTCTCTGAGGCTGGAAGAAAGAGAAAACAGAAAGTCAGGGGTGAAAAAGAATCCTAGAAGTAGGTTCGGGACCCACTAATCAGTCTTAGCAGCACAAAAACAACCTCCTGACGGGAAGCCATATGACACACACTGTCTATGAAGAGCTCTTGCCACAAAAGTTGAACCTGAATTTGTTCAACCTTTTAAAGTTAACTACGATTTACAGGAAATATAAAAGATAGAAAAACAAGATTAATGACACAACAAGGGAGCAAACAGAAGAATCCAGACTGTGGAACATTCTAAAGGACAAGTGACCTAGTTTCTGCAGGAAGTCAATGGCAGGAAAAAGGCTAGGTGGGTTGGGGTGGGGGGTATGCTCTAGAGTAAAAGAAAATTAAGAGATACAGCGCAATTGTGGGGATACATGGACCTTGTTTGAGTCCTGATTTGAACTGTAAAAAGACATTTTCAGATGACTCGAGAAATTTGATTAATGGAGTAAGACGAAGTGACCAGGAAACAATTGTTAATTTTGTTATTGACCAATAACGGCATGTGATTATGTAAGAAATGTACATATTTCTTAGAGATGTATATTTTAAATATGTAAGAAAAAATAATAATGACCTTTGCAGTTTCCCTTAAAAATTTCAGCAAAGAAAATGAAAGAAAAAGGGAAAAAAAAAGGAATAGAGCAAATGCAGCAAAATCTAAATTAACCTGTTGAATCTGAGTGATTGGTATATGGAGGTTCGCTACATATTCCCTCTCCCTTTGTGTATATTTCAAAAAATTATATATACAAAAATAAAAATAAGTCCATTTGGTATCAGCAGACCTCTTCCTTCTCTATCCCTCTCTATACCAGAGGTCTTCCCCCAGCCTCTCACTACTCCGTGTTCCCATCTAACCTGTTCCCATTCCAGCCACCTCTCTAACTACCACCTCACCAGATCCTGAACACGCCACCCCTACCTTATAGGACCGGGGCATGCTGGGTAGGACGGTGCCGCCACAGCAGCTGATGATCTCTCCCATCTGAGGTGGTGGCGGCTGGACTCCTGGGGTCACGTGAATCTCATAGCCCTAGGAGGAAGAGAGTGCTGGAGACAGTAGATGATGCACTGAGAGGCCGTGGACCGCTGGGCAACAGCTGAAGTGTGGGGCAGAAGATGGCCTCTCACCTCCAGCAGCCTTCGCTCCCGAGCCCGGCTCAGGGCCTCCCGAAGGCTGAAGCCAAAGTTCTTCTCCTGCTCAGGATCAGTCACCACATATTCAGCCGGGGGCAAGAAGCAACCTGCCTTGTGGGACTAAGGACGGTAACAGTCAGTACCAAAGCTCAGCCCAGCCCTTCACCCAGCTCTTCTTTCTAGTGTTTACAGGGAGCTCAGGAAATGTTTTCAGAATTAAGCCTTCTGCTTCACTAACCTCGTCTTCCTGTACCCACGTTCCTCCCACCGCTTTCTACAGACCCATGTGAGCAGCCTTCTCCCGCCACTATCTCTACGGGTCTGTCATCATCTCCTGGCCTCTCACCTGGTGCAGCCAGTCCAGGGAGAGGATGGGGATGCCCCGCCCCAGGGCACACAGGAACTTGACTGTCCGGCGGATCCGATCTGTCACCAGGTGGGAAGCCTCAGCCACTGAGCTGGCCAGACTGCCCCCCAGGGCCAGCACTGCCCGCTCTCCATGAGCATCCACCACGCCTGTGAAGAGCACCTGTGAAGGGGGTTAGCCAGAGCTGGTCACGGCAACCAGCGCCATCGGCACCCGTCTCCCAAATCCCCTGGGTCTCCTCCCGTCCTACCACATCTCCATCTCCCACAAAGCCCCAGAGCCCTTCTCTCCTACTTTGGGGGCCGTGGACTCTTGGAGAGGTTTGGTCCGTCGCAGGCTGCGGCTTGGTATTTCCCGGGGCTCCTCCTCTGTCTGCTCTCTCTTTCTCTTGCCTGGTCCTGGAATCACTACATCCTGGGGTTGAGAGAGAACTTGGTGGGAGTTTCCAAGCCCCCAAGCTCTTTCCAAACTAGGTGACTCCAGCCCCCTCCTCACCTCTTCCTTCCTCTGCTTCGCTGCAGGATTTTCTTCTTCTTCCTTAAGGAATGCTGTCTTCTGGGGAACTTCTCCTCTTTGGAGCCGTTTTTGAAGTGGAGGTGAGTCCGCAGTAGCTAAAGGCCTCTTGCGATTTTGAGAGGCCTCAGGCTGGGGCTCTGGGGTGAAGCCAGATCTATCTGCTGCCTCCCCCTTTGGGATCTGGGGAGCACGAGTGGGTGCCTCGGGAAGCTGGGCAAAGGCAGGCTCGGGAATGGTGCTGAGGGACTCGGCTGCCCTCACTGCCCCTCGTCTCTGGTTCCTTGAGGAGTTAGGTTCAGAGGGTGCAGAGTAGGGTTCATGAACGTGAGCTGTGAGAGACCCATGTTTCCTAGTGGCCCTTGGCCTCCTGCTGCAATTGGCTTCAGGGATGGGCTCAGGGGGAATAGGCTCTCCTGTGGGGACTGGAGAGTGGGACTCAGGGGTGGTAGGAGCTGGCACAGCATTTACTGTAGAAGACCTTAGTGTCCTGCTCTGACCACCCTGAGCTATGACTTTGGGGGTGACAGGCTGCTCTGTGGGGGACGAAGGTTCAAGGTCAGGAGCTGTGGGTTCAGTTGGCTGGGATGTCTTGACAGAGGACCTTTGTGTCCTGCCCCGAGTGGCCTGAGATGTGGGCTCAGGGGTGAGAGACTGGTCTTTAGAGGTGGAAGGCTGGGGCTCAGGAGTTATGGGGACAACTGGTTCAGGGGCCTTAGCAGATGACCTAAGTGTCCTGCCCTGAGGGGCCCGAGATGTGGGTTTGGGGGTGACAGGCTGGTCTGTGTGGGCAGAAGGCTGGAGCTCAGGGGCTGTGGGGACATTTCGTTCAGGGGTTTTGACAGAGGACCTAAGTGTCCTGCCCCGAGTGGCCTGAGATGTGGGTTTGGGGGTGACAGGCTGGTCTGTGGGGGTGGAAGGCTGGGGCGCAGGGGCTGTGGCGATAACTGGTTCGGGAGTCTTGACAGAAGCCCTCTGTGTCCTGCCCCGAGTGGCCCGAGATGTGGGTTTGTGGGTAACAGGCTGGTCTGTGGGAGTGGAAGGCTGGGACTCAGGGGCTGTGGAGATAACTGGTTCGGGAGCCTTGACAGAAGCCCTCTGTGTCCTGCCCCGAGTGGCCGGAGATGTGGGTTTGGGGGTGACAGGCTGGTCTGTGGGAGTGGAAGGCTGGGGCTCAGGGGCTGTGGAGATAACTGGTTCGGGAGCCTTGACAGAAGCCCTCTGTGTCCTGCCCCGAGTGGCCTGAGATGTGGGTTTGGGGGTGACAGGCTGGTCTGTGGGAGTGGAAGGCTGGGGCTCAGGGGCTGTGGAGATATCTGGTTCGGGAGTCTTGACAGAAGCCCTCTGTGTCCTGCCCCTAGTGGCCCGAGATGTGGGTTTGGGGGTGACAGGCTGGTCTGTGGGAGTGGAAGGCTGGGGCTCAGGGGCTGTGGCGATAACTGGTTCGGGAGCTTTGACTGAAGCCCTCTGTGTCCTGCCCCTAGTGGCCTGAGATGTGGGTTTGGGGGTGACAGGCTGGTCTGTGGGAGTGGAAGGCTGGGGCTCAGGGGCTGTGGAGATAACTGGTTCGGGAGCCTTGACAGAAGCCCTCTGTGTCCTGCCCCGAGTGGCCTGAGATGTGGGAGTGGAAGGGTGGGGCTCAGGGGCTGTGGCGATAACTGGTTCGGGAGTCTTGACAGAAGCCCTCTGTGTCCTGCCCCTAGTGGCCCGAGATGTGGGTTTGGGGGTGACAGCCTGGTCTGTGGGAGTGGAAGGCTGGGGCCCAGGGGCTGTGGAGATAACTGGTTCGGGAGTCTTGACAGAAGCCCTCTGTGTCCTGCCCCGAGTGGCCCGAGATGTGGGTTTGGGGGTGACAGCCTGGTCTGTGTGGGCAGAAGGCTGGAGCTCAGGGACTGTGGAGACATTTCGTTCAGGGGTTTTGACAGAGGACCTAAGTGTCCTGCCCCGAGTGGCCCGAGATGTGGGCTTGGGGGTGACAAGCTGGTCTGTGGAGGCGGTAGGGTGGGGCTCAAGGGGTACAGAAGAAACTGGAGAGGACCCTTGGGGCTTGACTTTGGGTTTTGGGTGAAGAGAGTCCAGCTCTGAGGAAAAGGGAGTCTCCAGAGCTTCCTGACTCTCATTTTGTCTGGTCCTGGGAATGGGCCGCTCTAAAGGAGGTAGAGAGGGCGAAAGGAGGGACTGAGGGGCAGGATGTTTCTGGCTCTGAGAGATGAGGGGGTTTTGGAGAGGCGCTGAAGCCTCCTGCAGTGCAGGAGGCCGACAAGCATCTGGGGATTCCTGATCACCCTGGGGAGAAATGGAAGCCAGTGAGGGAGGAAGAGACAGAGAAGAGAGACAGGACTTGGATACTGTTCTTGATCCTTGTTTACAGAGTGTACTCGTGGCATCTCTCTGTCTGTTCCATTAGACTGGGAATTCCCTCTTTCCCAAAGACCTCTCCCCAAAATGCCAGTATAGTATTCTCCATATATGGATGATTCTAATAAAGAGGACGGTTAGGAGAAAGAGGAAAGGGACTTGAAAAAAGGAGCTTTCTGAGTCAGGGAGGGGGACACAGAACTTGCGGAACAGATATGGAAAACAACAGGTGTCAAAGTAAACAGATAGAAGCCAACTAAGGAGCCAACCAAGAAGCCAACTAAGGAGCAGTGAAAATGGAAGAAAAGTTAAACGTATGGGGAAAGGAGTAAATGAAAGCAAGGTCAGGGGAAGGGGCAGTGGAGGAGATACAGAGATGACCTGTGGAGTGGGGAGGTGGGTACAGAAAGCAGCTCTCACCCTGGAAGCCTTCTCAGCAGGTGGCATCTTGCAATTCAAGTAGCCTAGACAGAAGGGAAAGACAAGTAGCTGAGGTCTAAGCAGTCAGTCACTTAGCGGTTGATTATCATGAGGGCTGTGTACCACCTTAGGCTCCCCTCTACCTTCACTTACCTCTCTGCTGCCTCCTGGGGCCCACTGGGGCACCCCTTCCTCCACCTGACTGGCTCCCAGAAGCTATGGGGTCTGAAGCAAGTCCCTGAAGGTCTCCCGCCCCCACTCCAGGCTCTGGTGTCGAACCTGAGGCCTGGCCTTTCTGGTCCTGGCCCCCCGCCTCTGTCTCCCCTGTCTGTGGGCCTCTGTCCAGCATCACTTTGGGTACCTTCCCTTGTAACCCACCTGCCTCACACTCTCTCTCTGCTACTGGTTTCTCTGCTTCTCTGTCAAATATTTCTCTTGTAAGAGTCTGCTTTTCTCTCTCTTTCTCTTGTATTTCCTCGGGTGTCTCAATTTCTACCTTCAAACTCTCCATATCCCTTTCAGTACTTGCACTTTTAACTTTTTTGTCAGACTCTTGTTTCTGAGTATCTCTAGCTAACACCTGTTTTTGTTCTCTGTCCTGTATCCCCCTGGTTGATTCTTCCTCTCCCATCACATCTTCCCTCTCTCCTTCCGAGGGCAGTTTCTCAGTTTCCCTCTCCAATGGCTCTCTCTCAGGGGTCACCCTCTCTGCTGTCTCTCTTGGTGTACCCATGTCTTCCTCCACAGTCTGCATCCCTCTGCCTTGAATCCCCAGTGGCTCTGCATGAACTGGACTCTCTGGATGTTGCTCTTGTGGTGCTGCCGTAGGTGGAGAGGGGCAAGATGCATGGGCTTCAATGTGGGTGGCAATGGGCTGGGGCTCAGAGGCTTCAGACTCTCTTGGACAGAATGGCTGTGTAGCCAAGACCTCCCATGGCTCATCCAAGGAACCTGAAAGCAGAGTGAGAGAGAGAGAGAGAAGAGGGAGGAATGTAGGTTGAAAAGGTAATAGCTTGAGAAAAGATGAAGACAAATTCATGCATAATAAATTTAAATGGGTTATTAAAGGAAAGCTGGGAGTAAGGAAGATAGTCATAACATTTAACATTTGTCTCAAAAAGTAAGCCCAAACCTTCATATAAAAGCTCTCTCAGTAGCCTCTTAAAAACTTATGCTAGACTAGTTGCTCTATGGGTCTGACTTAATATGGCATTTTTTTTCTGATGAGATGGAGGAACATCAGCAAAACGTCAAGGAATATAAAAGAAACGTGTAGAGGGGGAATAAGGATACCAAGTTAGGGACACAGAGGAGGAGAGAGTTTCTTATACCTGTGGCCTGGAAGCTGCAACGGGAAGGGCCAGGCTCTTGGGGCAGAGTAAACAGGAAGGCCTGGGTGGGTTCATCCTCCACGCTGGGGACTGTTGCACAAGAAAGCATGGCCTGAGCACTGCTCCACAGAACTCCAGGGTCCCATTCTTAGTTTCCCACCCTGACCATCCCAGCTTTCACACACTTCAAGGACTACCAGTCTGATCTCCAAGCTCCTGTTTGTACCAGTATCCACATGACACAGATGTCCTCACCTTCCAGGCTCTGATTCTCTCTCTCCACAAAGCACTGGGTAGCTTGCAGGTCCAGATCTTCAGAATCTGGTGGGGGAGGAATATAGGATAATTAAAAAATCACAGCTGACCCTTAACTCCTTCCTTTTACTCCACTATTCCCTCCTCAGCCCCAACACCATGCAATAGACTGAATCTCTGTGTCTCCCCCAAAATTCTTACATTGAAACCTAATTTCCAATGTGAGGGTATTAGGAGGTGGGGCTTCTGGGAGGTGATTAGGTCATGAGGGTGGAGCCCGTGTGAATGGGATCAGTGCCCTTATAAAAGAGACTCCAGAGAGCTTCCTTGGGCCCTTCTGCCACGTGAGGACATAGTGAGAAGATGGCTGCCTATGAAGAAGGAAGCAGGGCCTCACCAGGCACTGAATCTGTTGGTATCTTGGACTTCCCAGGCTTTAGAACTGTGAAAAATAAACTTCTGTTGTTTATAAGCTACCCAGTCTATGGTATTTTGTTATAGCAGCTCAAATGAACTAAGATACCCTAGAAGCATTCTTTATTGCAGGGGTTAAGGGAGGAAGAAAGGCCAGCACTAACCATCATGGTTGTCTCCAGAGTCCATGGTCCTATCCACATGTGGTTCTCTCTCCCTTTCTGTGGGGGTCTGGGCCCCCCGTCTCTGTGGCTGGGTGGGTTCCCCTGGAGTGCCTGTGTCCACCACCAGATCTGCTATGTTATTCCTTGAGCCAGGGAGAAGGTCCTGCTCCACTTGGGCCACGGGTGACCCACCCTGGGCCCCAGCCATAAAAGCCCTGCCCTGTTCAAGAACGGCTACAGCCCGCTCTGTCCCAGTATCTTCTTCTGCCTGAAGCTGGCTCTTTCTTACATCTGCCACTGCCGAGGCTGCTAAGGATGCGTTCTCCTCCGCATCTGGGTCACAGTCCCTAGCCGGAGGAGGCCGGGCTTCTTCTAGATACACCACAGGCAGCTTTGCTGGGCCTCCTTCAGCTTCCACATCTGTTTGATGTGTCCATGCTACAGGTACTTGATGCTTCTCCAGAAGTATAACAGCTGGCCCTGGTGGGACTTCCTCCACTACTTGTGTGTTGACATGCACTGTGGCAGAGGCTTGGAACCCTGGTGAGCTCTTCTCTTCCGTTACCTCTGTATCACTATCCCTGAGAGAAGGATGACTCTTTTCTGAATATGCCTTGCCCGTGTGACCCCTGGGAACAGTTCCTGTCTTCTCCACTGGGAGCCCCTTTTCCTTCACGTCTGTGTCACTGTCTCTCCCAGCAGAGGCTTGGCTTTGCTCCAGAAGGGCCACCGGTTGGGCCCTATCGTCTTCTGCATCTGGATCTCTGTTCCACGCAACGGCCCGGCTCTCTCGTAGATGTGCCAGCGTGAGCGCTGCTGAGACTTCTTCCTTGTCATCTGTATTGCTATCGATCACGACGGAGGCTCGGCTTTTGTCCAGAGGGACAGTCAGGGGGGCCTCCCCCTCCTCTATATCTGTATCACTACCATCCGGGCTCTCCTGCTGATGTGCCACGCCAGGTGCCCGAGGACTCTCTGTACCAACTTCATGGAAGCTGTGCCTCTTCCTCACAGGAACTACAGCTGGGGTCGCAGGGATCCCCTCTTCTTCCACATCAGTGTCACTGTCTATGAAGCCACAAGGCTGGGCCCTTTCCAGATGGACCCCAGTGAGCCTTCTCAGAGGCCCGCTCTCATCGTCCACATCTGTGTCACTGTCCTCCCCAGCAGGCTGGCTCCTCTCCAGAATCACTCCAACTGGAACCACCCTACTCCTCGCGCTCCTCTCAACTTTCGTGTCATTGTTCTTCTCCTTCACTGAACACTGATCCTTTTCAAGCTGGATTCCAGTTGTGACAGGTTTAGGCTGTTCTGTCTCTGCAGCGGTGACTCTTCTGGCAGCTGAGGAGCCCTCCCCTGCTCCTGGTTGCTGACTTTCTTCCTCATCTGTGTCACTGTTCAAGTTGAAGGCAAAAGGTGGCCCAGGGACATCCAGGGGAGAGGAAGGTCCCTCTTCATCGCTGTGAAGGGAAGAGGAGAGTCTATAGAATCTACTTCCCCAGAAGGGATACCCCACTCAACTAGGAGCTCCTCGAGGGCAGACATGAGGTAGTATTTTCTTTTCTATCTCCAGCAGTTAGTTTTCTACTTGGCACATCAGAGGTGCTCAATAAAAATTCAGTGATTGAATGAGTATGTGTAGTTCCCCAGCCCAGACTTTCATGGTAATAAGTTCTCGTAGAGATGGATCCTCCAGCCCCTGATTCCTCCTCCTTTTGAGGACTCAGGTGTCTGGCCCTTTGGCACTCACCTCTCTGGAACTACTGTTGCCAAAAAGGAGGTCCTTGGTCCTTTCACCACACACTTTTCAGAAAGAGAATCTGTCAGTTGTAGAAAGGAGTAAGTTGACAGTTTTACACTCACAATCCCCATCTCCTCACCCGCCCTCCCAATACACAAACTTACCTACTTCTTCCTCTGAGTCCTCAGCCAACAGAAGCCTGTGGGGTTGAGTTCCTCCCTGTACCCTGGGTGTCTCCTCTATAGTTAGAGGGCCCCGGGAGACAAAGGGCAGGGGGACATCCAAGCGATGGTACTGGCAGGGCAAGTCAGCAAAGAGAATCAACTCCCGGTCCCTCAAACGATGACTCACCCCAGGGCCCAGGACCTTAGGAGGCCTCAGGATTTGAGTACCATTGAGGCTTCCACAATCCCGGAGGACAGGCGCCTTGTCCCAGGCCAAGATTTCAATCACCGCATGTTGTTTGGAGATAGATGAATAGGGCAGGGCCACAGAGCAATCAGGCATTCGGCCTACCACATTCTTCCCAAGGTATAGTGGGAAATCTAAGAATTAGAGAGGTATATGGGTTCCAAGGCCAGAGTCCTGACCTTCTATTAGGAAAACGTTCCTGTTAAGTACCTCACTACTCACTCAAGGTCCCCCCATGCATTAGAAAAATAAAAGGCCCCAGGATAACTAGCTAATAAAGCATATATGCAATGCATTATTCATAATCAATACCCCATCCATCCACACTGGATTATTTTCTATTGTAAAATATACATAAAATTTACCATTTATGTAAAACATACATAAAATTTACCATTCAGCCAACTTTTCAGTGTACAGTTCAGTGACGGTAAGTACATTCACATTGTTGTGCAAAACATCACCATCACCCATTTCCAGACCTCACTGGATTTTTATCTGAATCCCTTCATCTTCTCCTACCAAAGTAAAAGCACCCCCATTGAGTCCAGGGCACTTGCCTGGAGCAATCAGATCAATCAGCCCCCTCTTCTCCATTCCCAGTAAAACCTTTTTTCAGATCTCCCAGATGCATATCTAAGCTTGCAACCCTCCAATTACCTCGCCACAGAAATAAGAGGCCTAAAAAAAAAAAAAAAAAAGAAATACCAGTACTTCAGCACCCAATAACCCCTGACCTTTTTCTGGTCCATAGGAACTACTGAAGATACGCAGTCGCCCAAGGGGCTCCAAGCTACACCCCAAAGATTCACTGGGTCTCTCTTCAACCTCCTCCTCTTGTTCAACTTCCCAGTTAATAACCTGGGTGTCTTCCATGATCTGAGGAAAAAACACATTATTATCACCTCTTTCAGTGGGTCACACACACAGCCTCAGAGAGGAGACTGCTAACTGCTGTAAACCTGGATTGCTATGGAGGCTGATGCTTCCCTTTCTGCCAATCATTCTGTTGTTATTCTTCTGAAGCATTTAAGAAATATCTTTGACCATGATACGGAATAAGAAATAAATATTATAGAGTCCCCAGTACAGAAATATATACAGAAACACATGCTTGGGACTTCCCTGGTGGTCCAGTGGTAAAGAATCTGCCTCCCAACGCAGGGGACTCAGGTTCGATCCCTGATCAGGGAACTAAGATCCCACATGTCGCGGGGCAACTAAACCTGTGTGCCACAACTACTAAGCTCGGGCGCCTCAACTAGAGAGCCTGCGTGCCACAAACTACAGAGCCCACGTGCCCTGGAGCCTGCGCGCCACAACTAGAGAAGAGAAAACCCGCACACTACAACTAGAGAGAAGCCCCGGCACCGCAATGAAAGATCCCGCATGCCTCAATGAAGATCCCGCATGCTGCAACTAAGACCCGACACAGCCAAAATTAAATAAATAATAATAAATAAATAAATCTTAAAAAAACCAAAAAACAAAAAAAACCCCACATGCTTATTTATAGACAAATGTTTTGAGAAACAATGTTAAGCCTTTATACAACACACTGATAGCTGTCATTCTGTTTTTTTCTCTTCTCAATTCTTTAAACGCCGATTTGCAATCCACTAAATTGATTTCACTATCCACTATTGGGATAACTTTTGCCAAACACCAACTATGTATCAGGCATAGTAGCCATGAGGCAGGCGTTTAGGACACTAAGGCTATAAATATTCAATCAGGATAACATAGCAGGTAAATGAAAAGAGTAGGAATAAATGTGCTTCTGGCTGCAAAGCCCATGCTTTTTACACTTTATCAGATCATCTCAGTGTGATCAGACTAAACTGCAAAAAATCATAACAGCCAAAAGAGAGGCTTGGTAGGTGTCAAGAACTGCTCTAAATACTTTATATTCACTGACTTATTTAATTATCACAAGAACCCTGTAAACTATTATTATTACTTTTTTTTTTGGTTGTTTTCCTTTTGGACACGCAGCATGGCATGTGGGATCTTAGTTCCTCGACCAGGGATCAAACCCCTGGCCCCTGCAGTGGAAGCACGGAGTCCTAGCCACTGGAGCGCCAGGGAATTCCTTATTATTACTTTCTATTTCTCAGATAAAGAAACTGCAATACAGATGGATTAAGGTATTTGTCCAGGACCACCCAGATAATGTCTCTCCTCTGTTTAATATTCTTTGATGGATTTCCATGCCCATAGGATAAAATAAAATCTAAACTCCTTAGCAAGACCCTCCACAATCAGAACCTCATATCCTCAAATGTATGTCCCACCCGCACCTCACCCAAGCCTATGATTCAGCCACATGGACCTTCTCCCCAGTCTCTGAACACATTGCTCCCTTTCATTTGCAGGCCTTAGCCAGCTCCTTAGCCCTTTGCTCATAGTCTTCTGGTCCAAATCCTACCTATCCTTTACAATTCAGTTCAAATGTCACTACCTCAGCAAAGCCTTGCCTGGAGTCTTCTCTGTTTTCTGGTGTTCCCCATGTTCCTAAGTGGATTGGACTTATGGACTTGGACTTATCCTGATAGCTCTCACCATAGTGTAACTATTACATTCCATTTCTGCCTCACACCCCCCCGAGAACTGGACAAGGCAGAAGAACTCTGTCTTTTCCCCAAGGGTCCATCATATTCATTCAACAGTTATTGCGCACCTGGTACCGCTGTAAGTATTCGGGATACATTCCTGAACCAAAAGTAAAATTAACTCTGCCCTCCTGATTAAAGAACAAATAAGATGAAAACTCAAAACAGTATGAAAGATGTTACTCTAAACGGAAACTGTTGACAGGTTGGGAAAGTAGGACACCTCCATGGAGATAGTGTTAACTCTGTTCTTAAGACTGGCGAACTCAGCTGGTACCCATGACCCTCGTCTCCAATCCATGGGCCACCACCTTTGATCTCCCTCCATCCCATGGGCTCCCTCCTAGCCCAACGGCTCCCTGTGTTTTCATACCTAAGGTCAGGGAGGAGCGTCAGGTAAGGATGAGTATTATAATCCGAGCAGCAAATTTCCAAGTATCCTCCGCCCAGTCGTACCCAAGGCACGCCCCTCCCGCCCACCGGGGAAAACCAAGATGTCAGCCGGGGAGCCTTGGGCGAGGCCCCCCAGAACTCACCTACTTTGAGTCCCCGCGCGCGCCACCAGTAACGGCCGCGACCGGGGTGGCGCGAGTGCCTGAGCGGGGCGGGGGCAGATTCGCTGATTGGCTCCTGCCGCTGTCTTTCACAGCCCGGCTGCACGCCGACAGAGCAAGCCGCCAATTCGGAGGCACAGCCAGAGCCCCGCCCCGTCCCCGCCCCCTTAAAGCTCAAAGGGGCGGCTTCTCCGGGGAGGCTGAGATCAGTTGGCTGAGGCTGTAATCAGAGGCCGCCGAAGGCGCACAGAATAGCGCACCTCGATTGGGCAGCTCCAGAGAACAACCCACTGCCGCTTCACCGCACCGCCCACTTCCCGCGCAGATTTCCAAATCGCGACCACAGAGTCTGGCCGCCAGCGACGGATAGAGGGACTTACCATAGTCGTCGCCCCAAGCATCTAGTGCGGCCAGAGCGTCCTCTCCCGGTCCTCCCAGACATGGAGTCCGCTGACTCATGAGAAATGAAAATGGGTTGCGGGTTGCAGTCGTGGCTGAAGGCTGCAGTTTGGAAAATATCCCGTAGGCGTGGCGCTCGAGGACTCATTGCAATGGAAGTCATTTTCTTATGAGTTAGCTCGTCTTGAAGTCATGTCATTTCCTCTCTGACAATACATTCCTGATGGACATTTTGAGGTCATTCACCAAGAGTAAAGATCCCTAGGCAAACAGAACTGTTTCGTTAACCATCTTGAAGGCTGACCGAGTTCTTTGAAGGGTTCAAGGATGATAAATATCATTTATTTCATTAAATGTCATACTAAGACAAGAATAATAATTTGACATGAATAATTTAGGAAGACCTTTTGCATTCTTATCTCACTTCATTCTGACTACAATAGGCAGAAATAGGTTTTATAGAAAGAATCGGAGCTCTGCCGATAACTTGCCTACAACTAATGTAAGGTAGAGACAAATTGAAACCAGTTCCCTAATTGTAAATCCTGAACTCTCTTCACTACCACAAAATACGTAATTATTTTCATTGTGATCATGCCGTAAAACATGAACATTCTATTTTAAGTGGGTAGACGGGTCTTACACAACTTGTTCTTTTATTTATAAAACGACTGAGAAATGTGTGTTGAATCCAATGTGAATTAACAATGATGACCCTGATATAACATGTCCTTTATCACAGTGCTTACCACACTCAATTATTGTTTATACACTTCTCACGAAATTGCAAGATCCTGGAGAACAGTGAGCTACTTCTTAATCATTCTTGTATCCCTAGCTCCTGGTTTGGTGGACACTTAGTATCTCTCAAGTTGAATTAATCCCTGAGATGAAACATGCGACTCAGACTTCAGCTCATCCAGTTTTTCCCCCATCACCTCCCTACCCCTTTTATTTCAATCCTCAGGCTCCTGGAAGGTTGCAATGGTCAGCCACCTAGTCAGTGAAATCAGTGAACTGAAAAAACACTGACTTCATCAGTGTCTAGAGAGGCAGGCTGGAAGACACTGAAATTCTATCAGGTATCTCACCCCATAGTTCTCCGCTGGACAATACAGTGTGTTAAACGCTGCTCTAAGGCCCAGACCCCCCACATGGACAGACACTTCTGGCATATCAACTTCTCTAAACCATTCAACTTATTCTTGAACATACCCTTCACACAATTACTTCTCTATCTTGAAAAGCCCTTGCTGCAATTTTGTTTCTAAACATTATCATTAGAAAACTCCCAAGGAAATAGCAGGAGGGCAATCCCCTCCTTCTTCCTGAGGTATCTGGGGGAGCAGCAGTTTACTGAAGTTCATGCCTTGGGTCACCAAAGGACCAGCTGTTAGATAGCAGATCAGGATGCCGCATTTCTCCCCAGTTTTCGCTGAGCTAAGCAGTCCTGTCTTCCCAAGAGCTACCGCAGTGGGGAGCTTTCAGGGCGTGCCCCCACTCCACCTTCCAACGCCTGGCACCCCCGGGTTCCCAATTTCTGTATCCGTAAACTACTCTCTTTTTATACCAGAAAAGTCAGGCATAGAGGAAGGAACCCTTGCGCAAGGTCATTTTTCATTAAAAACTCCCAAACCAAAACCCCCATACCCAGTACCCACCCATTTGTTCTTTCATTTTGCAGCGTGGACAACAATAGAGGACTACAACTCCCAGGGAGGACTGCGCTCGTCCCGCCGAGCAGGGACCAATGGACGTCTGATACATGACCAGCACGGACTAATCAGGGCCAGCCTCGGTGAGGCTTTGTCTCCCCACCACCTCGCGGGGCGCGTTCTCCCGCCTCCCGGCCCCCGCGCACGCGCGCCCCGCCCTGCCCGCCTTTCCTCCCGCGCCCTCCCCTCTCCTTTTTCCCTCTCAGAACCTTCCTGCCGCCGAGTTCGGACCTCGCTGCTCCAACCTCTGGGCCCCGTCCCATCCTTCCAGCCTGCGACCAGCAGCAGAGAAAAACTAATTACGTATCATTTTCTTGCCCCGTACACACTTGTGAGGCGAGCAAAAAGATTACAATAAATTTTAAAAATGAGGGAAATCGTGCACATCCAGGCCGGTCAGTGTGGCAATCAGATCGGTGCCAAGGTAAGGATTTTTAACCTCTTGACTATATTTATTTTTGAGAAGAAAAAAATCCAGGTAAATTATGACGAATGACTCTGGGACATTCGCATCCTCCATTCTTAGTCAGGCTTTGCCCGTTAAAAGTTGTATGTATATATAATACACGTTTGTATTATGCAAAGCTGGGATTTGCTTTTGAAAAATGGGGAATTTTTCTTGGCAGGCTTATTTTGGGGAAGCTGTTAAAAGCACCCTTCAGGTTTAGGGGGCGGGAAAACCGAGTTTCTGTAAAATTTTACTTAAAAAGGGCATCTTCTAACGGTCCGAGGACCGGGGAGCGAGGGAGATGCGGAAACGGCCCGAGACAAAGCGAGACGAGGTTTTCCCCATGTGCATCCCCTTTGGCGGGGTTTCGGAGGGCTGAGCCGGAGGGGGAAGGGGCGAGGCTGGCGGGCAGCTGCAGAGAGGTCAGATCCAAATGTAGGGGACGCGATGCGCCAGGGTGGGCTGCAGTACGCGATATCCTTTACAAAAGATAGGTGTCTCCGGGCACCCGCGATCCCCAAGGGGCGGTCCCCGAGTTTTTCGTGCATGGAAGGCTAATATGTGCCGGACTAATTTCAGTTTCTTTCATTTGCCCTTAACCGAGACCCTTTTAGGGCGTGAACAGATATGGAGAAAGAGCTAGGGGAAAGGGGGAGTGCTTTTTTTAAAAGGGCTCCTCAGGGCCAAAGAGTAGGACAAAGGAAGAAAAACCTCATTTAAAGCAAGGGGGTTAAAATTAAAAGCTAGAGAAGAAATAAAATTCCGAGGCCAAGGGGGAGGTTTTTTTTTTTCCTTTGCGCGCGGTTACAGTGTAGCGGGGGAGGGGCGGGGAGGAAGCGCGGCTGCTACGTTAGAGCAGAAGGGCGGGACCCGGGCGCCCTGGCGCGCTGGGACAAAGCGGCCGGGCCAGCCCGCTGGGGGCGCGCGAGCCCAAGCCAAGTCCCGCCCTTACCGCGCGGAATTCGCGCTCCGGCCCCGCCCACGCGCGGCGCCTCCCTTTGTCGGCGCCTAGGCGCGCGCCTGCGCCGCGGTCACGTGCCGGGCGGGGTGGGCGCCTGCGGCAGTGGCTCCTTTCTCCGGCCCCCAGCTCTTTGTGCCCTGCGAAGGGGGGTGGGGCGGGGAGGTTCGCTTCTCCGAGCAAGTCGGCCGCTTCCATCTACCCACCTCGGTGCCTGCGATCGCCGGGACCTTCCACAGCATCTCACATCCCAAGCAGTGAAAGCTGCAGTTTTCCCGCGTGTGCAGGTGTTTAGGGGAAGGGTGTGGCAGGCAGAAGGAATGCCAGGCGCTAGGGGAGGGCCCGCCACAGGCGTATCTGGAATTAAAATGGCGGTAGAGGGCGTATAATTGGCTGGAACCTGAGCTGTTGAGGACGCGTTGCTCTTCCCCTGGCAGTTCTGGGAGGTGATCAGTGATGAACATGGCATCGACCCCACCGGCACCTATCATGGGGATAGCGACCTGCAGCTGGACCGCATCTCCGTGTACTACAATGAAGCCACAGGTGAGGGCAGGAGGCCGTGAATCACGGGTCCCATCACTCCCACTTCTCTAGGGTCTCTTGCCTCCCTGGGAAACCCTTTATCCCCTTTGAATGAATCCATTCTCTCCCTTTGGAGCCCTTTCTTCATTTCCCCCATCGGGGCTCAAAAGTGGCTCTGCTGCCACCTGGTGGCAGTGCCTGGAATCACAAGTTTGGGTCCCCGGCTGCCTCCCCGCCCCAAAATATTTACCTATATGTCGGTCAGTTTTTACAACGCTACTTTATTCCCTGTAGGTGGCAAATATGTTCCTCGTGCTATCTTGGTGGATCTAGAACCCGGGACCATGGACTCTGTTCGCTCAGGGCCTTTTGGTCAGATCTTCAGACCAGACAACTTTGTTTTTGGTGAGTTACACAGACAATAGTAGATACTTGTTCAAGTTATTTGGGTGCGGCAAGAGTTAGGAAATGATTGTACTGAAGAACTTATACAGGGCTGTGTTTTGAAATCTAATGGAGGATAGAGGTAGTGACTGCTTTAAATAGTAAATTGGGGGGAGCGACAGGTGTAACACAGGGGAGGGAGAGAAGATACATCCACTGGCATGACTCCAAAAGTTGAAAAGCAGAAATGTGGCCATGTATCTTCCACACTTTACTAACCAAGCTTGCCTTCTGACCCCATTGCAGGTCAGTCTGGGGCAGGCAACAACTGGGCCAAGGGCCACTATACAGAGGGGGCCGAGCTGGTCGACTCGGTCCTGGATGTGGTTCGGAAGGAGGCCGAGAGCTGTGACTGCCTGCAGGGCTTCCAGCTGACCCACTCGCTGGGCGGGGGCACAGGCTCTGGAATGGGCACCTTGCTCATCAGCAAGATCCGTGAAGAGTATCCTGACCGCATCATGAACACCTTCAGTGTGGTGCCCTCACCCAAAGTGTCCGACACTGTGGTTGAGCCCTACAATGCCACCCTCTCCGTCCATCAGCTGGTGGAAAACACTGATGAGACCTACTGCATTGACAACGAGGCCCTTTACGACATCTGCTTCCGCACCCTCAAGCTGACCACGCCAACCTACGGGGACCTGAACCACCTCGTCTCGGCCACCATGAGCGGTGTCACCACCTGCCTCCGCTTCCCTGGCCAGCTCAATGCTGACCTCCGCAAGCTGGCAGTCAACATGGTGCCCTTCCCACGTCTCCATTTTTTCATGCCTGGCTTTGCTCCTCTAACCAGCCGTGGAAGCCAGCAGTATCGGGCCCTCACTGTGCCGGAGCTCACCCAGCAGGTCTTCGATGCCAAGAACATGATGGCTGCCTGTGACCCCCGCCATGGCCGGTACCTCACCGTGGCTGCTGTCTTCCGTGGGCGGATGTCCATGAAGGAGGTCGATGAGCAGATGCTCAACGTGCAGAACAAGAACAGCAGCTACTTCGTGGAATGGATCCCCAACAATGTCAAGACGGCCGTCTGCGACATCCCACCCCGTGGCCTCAAGATGGCGGTCACCTTCATTGGAAACAGCACAGCCATCCAGGAGCTGTTCAAGCGCATCTCAGAGCAGTTCACTGCCATGTTCCGCCGGAAGGCCTTCCTCCACTGGTACACAGGTGAGGGCATGGACGAAATGGAGTTCACCGAGGCTGAGAGCAACATGAACGACCTCGTCTCCGAGTACCAGCAGTACCAGGATGCCACCGCAGAAGAGGAGGAGGATTTCGGTGAGGAGGCCGAAGAGGAAGCCTAAGGCCGAGTCCCCACCACCTCAGGCTTCTCAGTCCCCTCTGCCTTCTTCCTCAGCCGCCCCTTTCCTCTCCCTCAGAATTTGCGTTTTCTGCCTCTTTTTTTTTCTTTTTGGGGGGGGGTTCTAGGACAGTGCCTGGCACATAATAGGCGCTCAATAAATATCTGTTGTTTGTTGAATGTCTCCTCTCTCTTTCCACTCTGGGGAACCTAGATTTCTGCCATTCTGGGTAACCCTGTATTTCCTTCTCGTGCCCACTCCTCCCATCTGTCCAGTTAACATTTCCCTCTCTGTTTTCAAGATAAACTCTCAAGAAGCTGAGTCTCATCAAATCCCATTCAGAACCATGTGCTGATAATCCGGATAGGTGACCGCCATCCTAGGCCCATGTGGTAGCCCAGGGGAAAGGAAACGAAGCAGCAGGTAGAAGTCCCTACTGGGAAGGGGTGGGGTTTTGGAGAGGGGCATCCAGGCTATTGAAGTCCTAGTTTCCAGGTAGCTCTCTGCTCCTCTCAGCTTCTGGGGAGGTGTTAACAGTATTATCTCCATTTTCAATCTCCCTCCAAGCTCTGTCCTGAGCTATTTCCTTTGCAAGGTTCTGGCCACCACCCTGTCAAGCGGGGGATCCTCCCCTCTTCCACTTTACCTCCCTCGTAATGTTGGATTCCTTCCTTTCCCCTGGTCAGAAAAGGGGGTCAAGAGGAGCAAGGGAGACTAGTCTCTAAGCCTCCAGAAAGCCACTCCCCAGCCCTATCTTTTCTTATGGAAAAAAATGACTATCACCCCTTCTGTACCTATATGGAAAGCTATGTGCTACCACCTAAATGTCATTCCCCAGAGAGGGGACAGGACACTCCATCCTTTGGCAACACCTCATCTCTTACTTTTTGCTACTGCCTTCCCCCCTACCCTTGGTTTTGTCCTATTCTACACTTCAGATTTCTATTGTGTTGAACTTGCTGCTTTTTTTCATATTGAAAAGATGACATTGCCCCAAGAGCCAAAAATAAACAGGAATTGAAAAAAAAAGTTGTGAGATGTGTGCTCATTCAGGGAAAGATTGCTCGTGGAGGCATGGGGCTCAAGTTCAGTTATATGATACATTCTACTTCCCATAAGCTAATGAGAAGAATATCCTTACACTTTAATCCCTGGTACCCACCACCTGTACCTGTCTTAGTAACTGGGGTAGGTATAGGCCCAGATGCAGGATCTAGGGACAGAAAAGGGAACTGAGATGAACGACAAGTGGTTGCAAGATCAGCATCCCCTTGAACGATCCTGCCCAGATGTACTGAACCAGAATGGGTTGGACCCCAGCAGTCTGTTTCTAACAGTGCTCCAGAAGGATCTCGAATGCACAGTGCATCCAGGGTTCCTTTCTGTTATGGGTAACGCTGATTTCTGTAATCCTGTGGATTTTCTCAGCCTAAGGCAAAAAATCACTAGTGAGGGACGTCACACCATGGTCCCATTCTAAACTGTTCCATCTAATACCTCATGCTTCAAGGAGCACAATAGTCTCAAAGCTGCCCTGGAAATTTAACAAATGTAACAATTTCTCTTGGCCGTGTTTTCAGTAATTCTAGGGACGAATGCAGTTATTGATATTGCTTCCACTTCAGCACGCTTTGCTGACGATAACCAACTTCAGGGTTGGGAGGGGGATTAATTCTATAACTTAACATACAAGTAACTACTGCCTCTCCCATTGTAAAAAGCCTATTGAAGGCAAAGGCAAAAGCTACATTCTAGCATTCATTTTGAATTAGTTCTGCTATACTAACTGTTCATAAGTATCAGTACTTATTAATAGCAATTTATTTGACAAAGTTGAGAACCTGCAGACCACCCCTCAAGGCTTGGTCAAGGAAGAATTCTGGACAACAGGCTCAGACAGTAGATTAAGTTAAATAAGTTGGTGGGATCATCAGAAGGCTGGCATGGCACTGGCAGTCTGCAGTATGGGGCTGGAAAAGGGAGCAACCCTTCCCTTCCAAGGCAAGGGACAGGCTTTTTGGCGAGGAGAGACAAGCGGTGGAACTCCGCTGTCAAAGGATGTGCTTGGGGAGCCAGCTGAAGTGCATGCAGTATTGGGGCCATTCAGGTAACTTGAGTTATGAGGCTGGGCATCGCGAAGGTCGAGGGCTCAGGCTGTTCTCAGAGGCTTGTGGTTCACCTGGCAAAAGACAACAGTGATGATTATGGGAACCAGGTGCCCTGCTCTCCCAGGATCCCATCTGGGTGAACAGGCTGCAGGGAGGATGCATACTTCCATGAGTATTCTAGTTTTTTCTGGTATCCTACCTCACCCCCTTTGCCAAGCAGTCATTTGGATTCTTGTATAATAATGAATTACTTACTGCAAAGGGGTGAAGGGAGCCAGATCCCTGCTTGCACAGGCCCTCCTTAGCTCCCAATTATCCACTGCAGACCTCAAGGAGACTCCAAGGAACCCAGCTCGAAGGTCACTGATTCAGTCTGGTGCTTTTATTTATATATGCATTTTTTATTTAACACACTCTTTGTTTTGTTTTTGTTGTTGTTTTGGCTGTGCGGAATGCGGGATCTTAGTTCCCGACCAGGGATCGAACCCACACCCCCTGCATTGGGAACGTGGAGTATTAACCACCCGACTGCCAGGGAAGTCCTTTAACACACTTATATAGTACTTACTACATGCTAGGCACCGTTCTAAACACTGCAAATATCTACTCATTTAATCCCCTTAACAATTCAACAGGGTAGTTACTTGTATTAACCCAGTTTTAAGGTGAAGAAACAGGTGCAGAGAAGATTAACTTGTCCAAGGTCACAGTTAGCATGCACTGGGGCCACTATTCACACCAAAACAGTCTGGCTCTAGGTCCTACTCTCTGATCTCTACCATAATCTACAGGTGAATAAACAGGCACCAAGAAAAGCAGTGATATGCCCTGGAATTAATTTTCAACAGGCTGCAGCTAGTTCCTTCTACTCGTGGGGTGACCAAGAGCACAGGCTCCAGAGATAGCTGGCCTGGGTTTGAAGCCCAGCTTCACCAGCTGTATGACATGGGCTAAACTGGAAGTTCAGTTTCTTTACTTTGTAAAGCCCACATACCCCAAAGGAAGTTTGATCTAAAAATATTTTTAAACCATTTGTGTAGAAGCTTAGCCCTGTGTTTGGCACACAGAAAGCAATTAATAAATGTCAGTGGCCCCCCAGGCCTCCTGGGTGCTGGCCCCATGCTAGGCCCGCTGCATCACATGCCATGAGAACCTGGCGATTTGGCTCCACAGCCCCCGCCCTAGAAACCCTCACCTGGGAGATGCTGACGCCTGTGAGTCTCTCCACGCTCTCCGGCAGGCGGCTCAGGATGTCCAGCACTTCCCCGGTCACTTTGGCCGCCCCCATGGCCCCACTTCCACTGGACACCAGTGTGATCTTATTGGCCGAGGTCAAGGGACCACTGATCTCCTCTGCCACCTGGTAGGTACGATGCCCACTCAGCACTTGTGGTCTGACCACACCCATCCTAAGACTCCTTCCTCTGGGTTTTAAGATCCTTGTCCTTCACTTTTGTGAGGATCACCCTTCCTCACTCTGGTCACTGGCTTGTAATTCTCACCCCGAATTTATGGCCCCTAGCCTGGTTCTCCCCCAGACCCTCCCTCATTTCCCCCACCCCTCATTCCCTCATCCTGTCCCTCCTCTGCTTTTGTCCACACGACCCCCAGACCTGGGGCAGCTTCTCCAGCAGCATGTCCAACTGAGCAGCCTCCTGGTACAGCTGGAACGCCTCTGCCTTCTTGGCCATCTGCTCAGCCTCGGCCCGGGCTCGGGCCCCTATGGCAAAGGCCTCGGCTTCCCCACGCATCTGAGGAGGGTACAGGACGCCTGGGGTACTGATGGCGGTAGTCAAGGACAAGAAATCCCAGCACAATCCCACTCCCTCCACAAGCCGGCAAGAGCCATCTGCTAACTCACCCGCACAGACTCGGCTTCTGCCTCTGCCTGCATGATCAGCTGGGACCTGGGCAGAGAAGGGAGTGGAGGGAGGAGCTGAGGAAGAGCCCTTGCTCTGGGAGAAAGACTCCACAGGAGGAGTACAGGTAAAGAAGGCCTCAGCAATTCGTCTGGGGGCGCCCAGATGGTGAAGGAGCCGCAAGGGGCCAGGAAGGGGTGTTTACTTCTCTGCCGCTGCTAGGCGCTCCAGCTTGTAGCGCTCGGCTTCTGCAGGCTTCCGCACGCGGGCCTCCAGCTCCTTCTCCCGGCGGGCGATCTCCTGCTCCTGCACTGCCACCTGCTGGGCCCGCTCCACCACCTGCACCTGGACCCGCTGTTCCTCGATCTGCTGCTTCGTCTTGGCCACCTGGGAAGGAGGGATGCTCAGAGTCAGAGCTGAAGAGCAAGCGGCCAGGAAGCAGGCAGGGAAGCTAGGGCCGGGGCTCCCAGGCGGGATGTAAAAATAGAGCAGGGGGACTTCCCTGGTGGCGCAGTGGTTAAGAATCCGCCTGCCAATGCAGGGGACACGGGTTTGAGCCCTGATCTGGGAAGATCCCACATGCCTTGGCCACAACTACTGTAGCCCACGCACCTAGAGCCCGTGCTCCGCAACAAGAGAAGCCACCGCAATGAGAAACCCGCGCACCGCAATGAAGAGTAGCCCCCACTCGCCGCAACTAGAGAAAGCCTGCGTGCAGCAACGAAGACCCAACACAGCCAAAAATAAATAAATAAATAACTTAAAAAAAAAGACTTGATATTGTGTCAATTCAAAAAAATTAAAAAAAAATAGAGCAGGCACATGAAGGCGGTCCCAGTGGGCTCAGCCTGCCCAAGGGAGTCCGTTTCCCGTACAGATCCAAGGCATGGCCTGAGGAGCGATGGGGGGTGGCCTGATCTTCCCTATCAGAGCCAATACCAACAGTTAGGGCTGTTCCCCACGTAGTCTCAGCTTCAGGGCTGGATAGGGCTGGAACCCAGCAATTCTCCCTCAGGCCAGGTGAAGTATCCCTCCACTGAACTCCTATCACCTTGTTTCTCCACCAAGTCTCCCTCTAGAGTATGAACACCTGGTGGGCACTGAGTGCATGGTAGCCATCCTCCACCTCCAGTCACGCTCAAATCCATGCACTTCTCTCCATCTGTGTGGCGGTTACCTTAGTGCAAGCCACTGTCAACTACTGAAAAGTTCTCTCACCAACTTTTTTTTTTCTCTCTCTCTCACCAACTTTCTTTTGGGGGGCTGTGTGTGTGTGTCATTTTTATCTTTTGTATGTGGTCCAAATTAAAAAAAAAATGTAAACAGTGATAGGTTTCCTCCCACCTATTTCTCAAGCCACCTGGTTGGTTCACTTTCCCTGAAACAACCAACGTGAGCAGCTTGTCGTGTATCCTTCCCGGGATACTGTAAGCAACTACAAAAACATGTATACATAGAGTTCCTCTTAGGCAGATTTCATTTTCTTACCCCTTGCAGAGTAGAGGGATCAGAAGGCTCTTGCCAAGATGTCGGTGAGGAGAGGTTCGGGGGAGGAACACACTTCTTGCCTCATTGCTCTGGCTCAGATGTGCACCACCTCCCCTGTGGGGCTCATCAACACAAGAGATGATGCCCCTGCCTTTACAGTGAACACCCATCTGTTCACTCCAGAGGAAGGGTGCTTCTGGATGTGGCACCCTGTACTGTCTTTGACCCTAAAAGTTCAAACCTGTTCCAAACTGGACTAGTTGCTCTTGGCCCCCATATGCAGCATCACGGTGTTCCTGTGTTGGAGCCTACCCACCCCCCCCTCTTCTTCAGACTCAACCTCTGGCAGCTCCCTCAGAAAGAGTATGTGGGGGACTTCCTTGGTGGCGCAGTGGTTAAGAATCCGCCTGCCAATGCAGGGGACACGGGTTCGAGCCCTGGTCTAGGAAGATCCCACATGCTGCGGAGCAACTAAGCCCGTGCGCCACAACTACTGAGCCAGCGCTCTAGAGCCCGCGAGTCGCAACTACTGAAGCCCACGCACCTAGAGCCCGTGCTCCTGCAACAAGA